TAGCGAATTTTCAACTGTGTTTATATAATCACTATAGCACAGTTTTTCTAATGTTTTACATCGATCCCTTAGAATTTTATAAGATTGTTCATCGGTACGGTTACCATATATTTTGAATTTCTTCAAGTATTTGTACTTTTCCCTAATTGATCTTTTCAAAGCCGGCGAGTACCATTTGGGGTATTTGTTAGTAGTAATAGTTTGGCGAGGTATATATTGGTCTCTTAATGTAATAAATTTATTGTAGAAATACTCTACTGCTGCTTCGAGGGGTTTAGATATTAATTCATGATGCCAGTCTATTTTTGTAATTTCTGAGTTGATAGCATTATAATCGCCTTTATTAAAAAGATACCTAGTGCGAGGTGCATCATTTAAGGGCACAAAATCCGCAAAATCTAAATCGAAGGACAAAGCTCCATGGTGTATATCGATCGGCACCAGCGGATCGTCACTGCAATCCGTTACCAGGACATTGTCATTAGACAATATAAGGTCTAGAGTCCTCCCATAAGTATTTTTAATACTATTGTATTGTCTTAAACCAAGAGTATTAATCTCATCGACAAGTGAAATCTCATCACTAGTATTAAAGTTTGAAGGATCACAGTGAGAACCATCAACACCATTCCTTACCCAATCTATGTTACTCAAATTAAAGTCTCCTGCTATCAAATATTTATCATATGGGTATCTCATGACTACATCATTTAAGCTATCAAGAAAGTTTGACAATTGTTGGGTAAAGGTAAAGCCTCCATTTTCGTTACACAAATAAAGCGCACAAATATGTAATTTCAAAGGTCGCTGAGTACCACGTAGTTTTAGAGTTAATGTTAACCACAAATCCTCGGCACTAGAGTGAAACCCAGGTTGAGACATAACTATCATATCCCTGTGCACAGCTATAAGTACACCCCCTCCATATAATTGACCAGTTACAGCATAGTTTCGATCCCGTCTAAAGACAACATATCTATTATCAAAAAGCTCCGTATCCTTAATACCTTCCAATAGCCAGGTCTCAGTAATAATAACGATGTCGTAATCACCGCTACATAAATTACGAAGAAATATCGTTGATTTGGTGCGTAAACCCCTAGCGTTCTGGTAGTATCCTTTAAGGTAATTATTTAAATTAGCCATTTATTAAGTATGAAAAAATAAAAACAGGATAAAAATATAGTTAATAAAACGGTAGAATCATATCCCCTTAAATTATAATTAAAACACAATAAAATAATAATTCGAGAATTCATGATCAATAAGTACTTAATTGAATTTAAAATGTATAAGCTGTATTTAAATAGGCGACGCAAATAAATTAGCCATTTGAATAGAAAGAGGAAATAAAAAGGAAATAATAACAACATAAATAAAACAGCCGGATTACAGATTCTAAATACATAATTAATAAACATTAAACCAGTGATTTCAAAATATATAATCGGTGAATAATAGTTCGGCTGCAAAAAATTTAGGTTATATATAAATATACGGCGCACATACACAAAATTCCTTATCAGTAGCCGTACTTGCAAGTTGTGGCGAGTCAATAACATTTCGTAGCCGTAGATAAGAATGCAACAAACCACCGATTTCACTACAAATAAACCATCAAATATAGCAAAAATGATCGCCCACAGTTTCATGTTATTTCCTACACTAGTAAGAAATAAAAAACGACATAAGCACAATAGATAATAAAAAATGAATGCTAACAGCTCCCCGCGAAGTATCAATAAAAAGTGAAAGTTACAGAAATAATAAATCGAGCAATAACATAACAGGCAAACAAGGCGTTCAAGGACACTAGCAGATAGCCAATTCATTGTAATAGCAAGTAGTGAATAGAAAAGGAGCGAGCGCATCAAGTGGACAGACCGGTTTTGGACTGGTCGTCCGGAACAATAGCGAAGCGTCATCACAATAGCTAAGCGAGCGGTTACAAACATTTTGTGCATAATTAGCCAGCTAATGTACGTGATTAAGCAAATAAAAATAAAAAAAAGCAAATTAACATTTTCTAATAGAAATAAAGCGTAACAAATTAACAGCAACTGTAAATATTCTGAATCGAATATAAAATAACTTAAACCATCTTGTTTAAATCAGTCTCACTAGATACGATGAAAATACGTGTAGTGTCACTTTTTCGCACATGAATTTTACAATACTTGACCCACACATAATTGTAGCTTTTTTCTTTGGCAGCCAACTTGGTTTTTGTGAGAAGATTTTTAAACTCGGGAGTAAGATGGTCGTTAATAAAAATACGCTGTGAGTTGCCTGCAAATCCAATATCGGCAGAAGTTATATGTTTCATAGCCCGTGCTGCAGCTATGAACTCTTCCTTAATATAGCGGTTCACAAAATTTATAACTATGTATTTCTCTTTGGAATTTTGTATTGGCACCCTGGCAATGTAATTTATTTGAGACTTAGGGAAACTGTAGCCCACTACTTTAGTCAACGATTCAACTATAGAATATAGATTTTCATTGGTTTTAACTGGTACACCCTTCACCTCAATATTGTTCAGACGTGTCCACTGATCTCTAAGTGCTAAACCTTTTTTAAGGGCATTAATGTCAATTGTGGTCGCCTCAATGGAAGATTCAACTTTTTGCATGTCGGGTATCTTCTGTTCCAAATTCGAAATTCTAACCGCTTGCTTGTCCAATTGGTCGCCGTTGAATTCGCAAGACTCTTTAAGTCCGGAAAGCTCCTGTTTGATACACTTGACTTCATCTACGAGGGTAGACAACTTGGCTAGTTGATTCTTTACATCACGCAGTTCTCTGAGTATGTTTTCAAGGATAGAGGAGTCATTAGATGGAGCTGGAGACAGTCTTGATTGCTTGCATTGTGGACACTTCCAGGCTGCTCTCCGATCAGCTCCCAGCTTTTTATACCCAGCCTCGGATATATTGGCACAGCCGAAGTCCAAGTATTTTTTACATACTCCACACTGAACTCCATCATCAAAAACCGAATCGCAGACCGCGCACTTCATTTCCGTGACACAAGTTATGATTATCTATAACCGGTAAAAATGTTGTCGATATATTGAAGACACAGAAATGGTGATACGCGTGCTAACTAGACGAATGCTCACGACGAACTTTTAACTTTGAAATGCTTTGATGTATTTTTATGACGATGAATGCCTGAAAGATTTTCGCTTATTTTAAAATACATTTAAAAATGTTACTTTGTTCCTGCATTAGAAAATTTGAAAATAGTTACTTTTGTTTATTTATTTTGATTTTTAAGTATATTAAGAACGTGTTCAGTTATTGCTTCCGTACTCACTTCTGTACAAATTTCAAATGGGGATGTTAATTAAATTCCACCATATTATATCTTTTTCAAGCAACAATAGTCTAAGAAGATAAATACACATACGATACTTAAATATTTTGTTCATTCTTCAGTATTAGAAAAAATAATAAAATTAGATTCCAAGGCATTTACTTCACTGATGTGGTTGCATGCTTGCTTATTTATATATTGCATATTATTACAGAATTCCATGAAGGCAGATGTTCAGAGCATGTTTTCCAACGTGGTGACAAGAAAAGACGTTGCGTGGGTTGCTATAAAAAATTACGAAGCACATTAAACAGCACTGTCGCTTCTAAAAAACTAAAAGAATTGTTACCGTTTGCGCGCAATGTAAACAATCTATGTGCTTACCATGTTTTAATGAAAAACATTTTGCATAGTTTATAAATATGCTTCTTAAATAAAACTTTTTCTATCGACGTCTGACATTTTATTTTATTCCCATCACTAGCTGCGACACATATTCTATTATCTTTGGTTGCGGTAGGAGATACAATCGATACCCAATTTTTTTTTTGGATTTGGGCCTTATTCCAATGTCATAACAGCCTGCGTACCTGGCAAAATATTGAGCTATAGGCTATTTTTATGGCACATAAACTCAAATGTGTGTCATTGGTTTTTTTGGAAGATATAAATTATTTTCTAAAAGTATTTTTTAGGAGACCGATTAGGTCTCCAACGCACTGAATTAATGGTTAGTTTAGAGATCTTTTAGGTCACCAAAGCACCAGCTGAAAGTTCTTTGAGAATGATGACGCAGGTAACGTGATATACCAACGGCCAGTGTAGTCGTATGCCACAAGATTTTGTTTTGTTATTATCTGTAGCATGCGACTACGCTGTCTTTTGGTCATCGTTATTGTAATATAACTATTGCTATACAATAAATATCTTTTTTTTTTGGTCATCAGACCGAGTTTCATGCACTTTCGTATAAAATTATTTTATTCTTAAAATATGAATAAAGATTTAAATGCTTCTAGCCCGAAGTCAGGCCAGGCAAGCGTGATACATGTCATGTAGAAGAGTATTATACTACACCACAATCTTCTTTCCATTTTACGCTCATATCCTTATATCCCTCTACTTTCCCTATTTAAATTATTTCTATTTTCATTCCAATATATAGAAAATAAATCTATTATCAATTTGATATGAATTATAGCAGCCAACATCATTTCGAGGAAAATATTATTTTTACTTAAATTTTATCAATCAAAAATTAGTCTTATAAAAACGGAAAAGTACCCATACAATCTACAAATAATACCGGCTTGAGGCCTGAGTACTGATAGAGGTATATGTTTCTTGGTACTGATACACAAATAGTATTTATCTAATACAGCCAAGTTTTTCGGTTGTTTTAATTTAAATGTTTTTGAGGAAAGTAAAACATGCATTCTTTATAGACATGATATATTTTACATCTTGATGGCAAAAATACAATACAATAATTGAATAAATAAAGAATAATTTTCGATAATATTGAATCGAGATCGCAATCCCTATTTTTTGGCCTGTCATTGTCAAAAATTCCCAGCTGTGACTTTTACAATGAATTTCGTATTAGGTTTTTAGAGTTGTATAATCATACTAATTATAAACTTGAGTTGTTAAAATTTTGCACCTGATTATTGAATTGGAATAAAATGTTACAAGCTATAAGTCGTGTGACAACGTTCTCCAAAAATGGCCTCTCCAGGTAGAATATTTTGTCTGAATCTAAATTCTCGATTCTTTAAGAATTAGATAAAATGAAAATGAGAAGTGTTTTTTCTTCAGGTCACTACCAATATTATCATTATCAAACGGTCGCTATGCTTCCTCTGATCCCACGTGCAAGAAAGAGGCACCAATAATTGAAAATGATGCAGTTTTGGCGTTGCCAGAAGAGCGTCGAATGCAAAATGCTTTGGAATCTACCATCGTTGTGCCTGTTAAGGTAATTGATTTTCTTTTATTCAAATACACTAAAGTACTTTTGCAAAGTCCAAATTCTTTTTTACCACCATCTATTTAGTACGTGTTTTGGTTGATAAGAACTGAAGTTAATAATTACTGAAAGTATTAAATATAATATTTTTGATGTATTTTGAATTTATAAAAAAATATTTCAAAATTTAACTATTTAACTTACTTACAGATTGCATTGATAGCAATTCTGGTGTCCAAATTATTAACCTATGAACTTCAAAAGATAATGAAGGTTTTATTTAATTTTACCTCTAATACTGTGACAGTGCTGTGTTTGAGATTGTATTTTACCATTATACTTACTCAATACAATGACTATTGTCTATTGTATTTTTTTCTTTGGCCTCTCTTTGGATATGGGTGCTATCAAAGTTATTATAAGGTTTAAACTAGTTTACAGATAAAAAAAATATATTTTTAAATATTGCAGGTAGATCTTAGTCCCATCACTGGGGTTCCCGAAGAACACGTAAAGACTCGTCGTGTTCGCATCTACCAACCGCCCAAAAATGCAATGCAAAGCGGCACAAACAATATTCACCATTGGGAAATGGAGTTTGACAACCGTCAACGCTGGGAAAACCCCCTGATGGGCTGGACCTCATCAGGTGATCCACTTTCAAATTTAAAAATCCAATTTTCTTCACCTGATGAAGCTATCGAACACTGTGAGAAAAATGGTTGGATCTGGTATATTGATGTTCCTAAAACGGAGAAAGATTTGAGGCCAAAAAGCTATGGACTTAATTTCTCTTGGAATCGACGCACTAGAGTCTCCACCAAATAGAGAGAGAATAGTAGGTACAACAAAAATATTTAATAATAGTTCTTTGTATATGTAGTAAATTGAATTCTCTATATTTAAAAATATAAATTTAAATAATCAAGCTTATTTTTTTCTTAAGAGTTATTTGTTTGCTGATATTAATCCTATACTTCTAAATACAGAAATGTCAATTACCAATAAAATGTTGAGTAAAATTTTTGTTAATCCAAATTTTTCTTTTAGTTAATTCATCAATTCACTGGACTTTCTCATTTGTGGGTGAAAGGGTAATTTACAATGACCTCTACCCACTATGCTAGTATGAATCAAATTAAGTATCAGCCAGCTGTACAAACATCCATTAAAATTATCATTCATATAAATTACTGATTCGAGCTAATAGAAGACATTAAACCTAAACGGAGGTTTGTGCAACAGACCCTATGTGATAAATTGAAACATTTATGCTATTTATCTTATAAAAAATCAATATAGTTTTATGAATGCAAAATTGACTAAATAGGTATAATAATATATTTTTCTTAAATATTATAAAAAATTAAATAAACATCTTTTTCTTAGACAGTCCATCGTGCTTTACAATTTGACGAAGCTTACATTATGGGAAATACATTGCATTTGAGCATGCAGAATTTGGTCATTATGGTAGTATAAAATGTTATTTTATGTAAAATAAATTCAAAGTTTTGACTCAATACAATGATACAAACTCATGTTGTCTATACTTTGTAATTACATGGAGTATGTTTGTTTATTTGTTTGCATCGAATACGCTCCAAAATAATAAAAAAATCCATTCACAAGTAACATCTGGGTGTTTCTGCGGAGGTTGAGTTTCTGGTATGATGCACCTGTCATTATTGTTTTTCTGATTACTAGAATTTGGCAGGTTTTATTTTCGAAGAATGGTAATGATGGATGTATTAAACTGGAAGTTCTGTTTGCGTGGCATAACCGTAGTATAGTAGTAATTATAAATATATCGTCTACGACATTATGTCGTTACTATTGGAGCACAGGGTGTTCCTTATAAATATATAGTATCACGTGGATCCCGTGCCGGTTGATGGACGTTAATTAAACTGCAGGCGCAGCCGCGATTCGTGCCGAAGGACGGAGGAGTTCGAAATAGTACAGTTTCGGTCACCCACCCGAGGTCAGGATTTTGCGACAATTGCTTCAATTCCGCTATTGTATACCGAATAAGTCATCGCTATTGAGCGCAGCACTATTGAGAAATCGATTAGCTTATGGATTAAGGACATTGGGTAATAAAAATCGATATTTCTATATTTTCATTTAATCGTAGTTTTCAACATGGTTAATTTATATTTTGTACCTCGGAAGAAAATCATATTTCGCAGATCTCACTTAAAGAATTTATTTACATATAATACAAGTTATAACATATTATACACAAATTGTATTTGATTCATGCCCAACACATGTTTTTTTTTAATATTGCAATTTCACTAACTATAATAGTTTTATATGTACGTGCAACGTACATTTTTTAAATAATATAATTTCCAAGTATTTTTCTAACAACCTTTAATTACACTATTTATAGATAAAATTATGAAAAATTATTGCATTCTCTTTCTTTAACCTATTTACATATTAATGAAAAATATTTGAGAATCAATATTCATATTCTATTAGAACGAATTTATGATGCATTTTTAATAATCTTATAATTATTAAAGTGTTTATGGGCTGTCGATTGAAACATTTCAAGATCAAAAAGCAAAATTTAAATATTAAGTATAAAGCGTAAGGGTATAACTATGTGGTGGGTTCTTGAAAATCTAGAATTATATTTGAATAGGCTTCGAAAAATTCTAAATACGTAGGTACAAATAATCTCGAAAAGGTTTTGGTCAAGATTTAAATTCAGATCGGGGTACATTATCAAAATAATAGATGAAATTTTTGGTCCTTACTAAATGGGAACGATATCAGAAATGTATTACAATATCAGAAATCTATATTTGTAAATCTCTCTCTACAGTTTAATGAACAGGCAAAGTTGAAATATATTATTGATTTTTTTTTATTATTAAAAAGCTAAATTCTAATAGCTGTCTTTGGTACTAGAAATCAACAATTCTGTGCATAATTATGCATCATTATGACTTGAAAATATTTTTAAAGCACTTTGTGCATTTCCATACTAAACATCACTAAATATTATGGCAGCTATTATTTAATACTACGCAATGTAATAAATAATAAGTGGACGGGCTATATTCTAAAATTATGATTACTAAATTGATTAATAAACTGAAATAGTTGAATAAATTATACAACAGATAATATAAGTTTCGAAGGCCAATAAGCCGTTGCTACTTAACTAATACTAATACTATGATGATAACAGCCTGAAATTTAATCATATTGTCTCCTTATGAGTACTCGCGCTAATCTACTATTGATCAAAATAATGCTATTTTGTGCGAATTAATTCAGCAATTAAGCAACGTTTAGACGGTGTCATTAACTGACTCTAAAATCGCCAGTGCTGATTGCCAGTACTGACTTTGTGTTGTGTAAATTGAATCGAAGAGACGTTATAATGTACACCACGAATATTGGCTAATGATTTGTTCCGTGTTAAAGTTCGTTTATATCTGCTGAAATTACGTTCATAGAAACACGTGTCGGCACAGAATATTTGCTCTATTCGCACTGCCCGGCATATAGTCTCAAACAACATACAGCCATTCGCGTCTGTAGGCGACTGTGAGGTTGAAAGAGATAAATGAATGTTCTTTTGTCTCGCCGGTGCCTGCAGCGTGTAATGTCTATAGAACTTAAAATAGTGCTGACAGTTTTCGACGCCAGCACTGACGTTTGACGTTACTGACCCCGTGTAAACCAGCCTTTAGCAAATATAAGTAAATATTGGCAAATTACAGATTTTTTGTTAGAATTGTTGATGGGTAGGTACTGTTGTGTTATTTATACTTTTGCGCTTTCCATGTGATGTATTTGTACGTAAAAGATATAACCGATAGCGCGTCAAGTTACGCAAGAAAGCCAAATTTCTTTAATCAATTTTAAGCATTAATCCGTACATAGTTAAGTTTAAAATTGATTGTAGAAATTTCTTTTTATTTTAACCTAATGTGGTTATGTGTATAAATAAAGTAATATAAAACTGTAGCGCTATGTAACCTACATTACGAGAGGTACAGAAACAATAATCTCAATATTAACAATCAAATTACACAGGCAACATTAAAGCTAATTTTACAAAACGATTGGCCTATCTAGCGAAAATTGACGTTTCAATAAATTCATTTTCAGCTACTATTAAAATGATCCAACAGAAGCTTGAGTTTCATGGTACTTTATTTTATTAATCTATACCTCGAAATTGTAAACAGATATGTATTACTTGTTTCTTATATTTTCACCCGCCATAAAACTATTTTACTACTTTTTAAACAATTTTATCGCGTTCATTTTTGATAAAATTATTATGACGTCGGATTACAGGGTTCGTGTTCAGTAGGCTAAGTGTTGGTTGTCTTTTAAAAATGTCTACCTTCAGACAATACTTATTGGACACATTCATAATACTTTTTTTTATTACGTGGAAACGTTTTATCGCTCCTGTGCGAGATATTTAAATAGATAGCAAAGCAAAGCTCATGACCATCTACGCCTTTTTCAAATAAGCAGCAATAATGTAATATTAGATACTTTCCCCTTTTAATATTACTCTGTGAATTGGCGTTAGACGATTTTAAAAAACCTGCCAAGTGCGATAAGGACCTTTCACGATGGGTTCCGTATCATTATCTATAAAAAAAACGTAAAAAATCGGAGCCCCTTTACATACTTATTTTATCCTGTTTTTAGTATTTGTTGTTATAGCGGCGATTTAAATAAGTACTTATTATTTGTGAAGCTTTCAACTGTCCAGCTACCATGGTTCATGAGTCTTAGTAATAGGAACCCGTTTTTACCCTTGGGTATGCAACCCTAAAAACTGTTTACCTCATGTGTTAGTGCTGCAATCTATCGACAGAAAGTTGCAGTAAAACATCCTATTTCTGTTATTGTCTGTCTTGTCTATAAAAATAATTAGGTATTATAAATAGATATTTAAGTTATGTGATCATATCTGTTTACATTTTCTTTATATACTTTCCAGGTCCATGATTATCTTGTTTAGTTTGTTACTTTTTCAATGTTAGTAACTTCATTAATTACAAATATATAAGCCTGCTTCTGAATAGCTACGGATGCGATGTATGTCAACGAATCAGTCATTCACTTAAATGAATATTATTTACAATAACAAATTAATAATTTACAACCATCTTTGAGACAGATCTCATTTTAAGCATAGGCAATGAAAATTAAACTTATTCAAAATTACAAATGAAATGGCGATCTTTAAGGCTAAATCATTATCAAATGATACATTAAATAGTCAAGACAGGCTAAGTTAGGGCTGCCATCTGTCCGGGTTTTGTCGAATTTTTGCGTCCGGGCAGCGTCCGGCCGGGATTTATTGCGATTATAATTCTAACGCAATTTTAGGTGATGATACAGTGATCGGCGGGTGCTGGTTTTAAGACCCATTTTTACTATCGATAAGCGTGCGGAGTCTGTCCGACGATGAAATAATAGCATGCTCTTGCGATTATTGTCTGCATACAATAATAAATACTACTATAGTATCCGGTACACAAATCTCCTGCACTCTGCATGCGGTCGCTTCCGCCGTTACGACCAAAATCAGATGTTTTATGGCTCTTTGTCTTTTTGTAATTGGCGGCTTATGGCGATTCGCAACCCTATCACTAGTCCACCGTTAATTGCCTTCCTAATATGATTGATTAATTCATAATAGGGTACCGGACAACTTTCACAAAACTGTTTTAATAATATGGATGTTAATTCCACAAAACATTTTATCTGATTGTTGTCCAGTGCCCTACTGTCTGATTTCTTTGACATCAGCTAAAAAAAGGAAATAGTAAAATAGGTAATTCTACTTTAACTCGAGGTGTCTTACACCCGGTTTTTGAATTGAGAGTTTAAAGTTAAGAACGTCTCAAACAGGTTTTCTTTTCTGATTTTAGTTTTTTTAATGATCAGTTGATAGCAGTTTGATAACACTAGGCATTTTTTGACTTGTGAAAAATAAAAAACTTAAGTTATTGAGAATAATCAGCTGAGATATTGTACTTTTTTCAAAATCGGCCGTTAGGATATTCCTGTTATTACACAACAATTCAATGGTATCTTTGCGTACCTTGTTGCAATAAACTGAAAGTTTCTGATTTAATATTTGTATAAATTCGCTACCTATGCAGAGATAAAATAGATTAAATTTATTGTTTTTTTAGTTATGCAAAATGTCTATAGAAGGGTACCGGGTATATAGGTAAGCTACAATAAGCTAAACCATAATATCGAGTTCAATTTTAGACTTAATCTATTTTCGGTTAGCTTGTTTAATTCGAAACATTTAAAAAGTTCACAAATTGAAAAGTTTGCTTTGTAAGTACGAGTATTTGTTTATGCTATTTGGAAAATATTCTAGTAGAGACATTTAATTTTTCATAAATTTTCTTCAAAAATTGTTGAACATGAAAATCGTTGAAGTTTTTAAACTGTCTGCCTGTTATAGTAATTCTTTTCTGGTAGAATTGGACTTAGCTACTTTAGTTGATGCAAATTATTTTCCGGCGTTTAAAGTTTCTTGCAACAGTCTTTATTTGTTATCAAAACGGTCTAACTTTCTCTGATTCTCTCTCAACGAACTCGCTACAAGGGTCGCTGTGTTTGCGCAGTTCCATAAAATTATAATCTTAAAAATGTCGGTAAATTTCTTTCGAATAGTTGATAAGTTAATCTGGTGGAGTGGACACAGAAAACTAAATAAATCTAATTATCTCTACATTTACATGTTTTGAAATCGTTTCTATTTCTCAAGCTACAATTATTTTTTTAAAGTCACAAAGTTACATTAGACCTTTTCTCTTAAATATTGAGCTGTATTAATTACAAGTCTATTTATGAATATTCATTCACAGTAATTTGAATGCACTTCAAAGAGCAAACTTTGCTTACGTAGCGCCGCCAAAGAATAACCTCTTCTGACTCGCAGACAGAATAAAATTTAGTAAATGTCTGCATCAATAATTACATTCTGAAACTTTTTATCTTATCACTATCAAACATACTATTTAGATTAAATACTTTTAAATTCACCACGTCTTAAGGTGATCATCAGGCAACAACGGCGTTCAGGAAATCTCACTACTTTCCATGCTAATAAATTATTACATTTCGATTCGTATAAAGTCACTCGGATAATTTAAATGTGGGTAGTATCGCATCCGTCTTAAGAACTTACATCGAGAACTACAATTTTGACACTATAATGTCCTTTAATTATTCGTGGGGCGGAGCCTCGTCGGGCTCGGCGGTAGATCAGCTGGGTTGTTCATCGCTCTCTCGGTGCACTAGCACTCGTACGACGGTGGGGGGTGCTGCAGGGGGAGGGGCGGCGTCTGGTGACGCTTCTGTCACAAGAATGCTAACTTCACTGTTGGCGTGTGGAGAAGGCGTCCTAGCACGTGCCGGAGTAGTGGCACGCCGCGCTGAATTCCGTCTTGAGCTTAGACGAAGGGATCCTGCGGTGACAGTCATAATTTATTTATAAAGTTTAAAGGCATGTTCAAACGGGTGGTGTCTGATTATCAGAGTTCATCAAAGACGTTAACCTGTAATCAGCTATTAAATAGCACTCGCTTCCGATAGATTCACATACGCTAGCGTATAAGGTAGTTCCAAATTAGACAATATGTATTGGCAACTTAGTAGCTAATAAAAACTTTTTAAATAGACCAATCGAAATAATCGTTTTATTTTTCATCACATTTAAAGTTGATTCTGTTATATTTGCGCTAGTTTTGGTCTACCTATTTTTTGTAAAATTACTGGGAAATTTTATAGCTTTTCAAATTGTGTTTATATGGTTTCTTACCTACCCTTATACTCATTTGACACATTACCTACCAGAAGGTTTTGCGATAAAATCGTTAGGTATATTTCTATCAAAAGTTTTCATAAAAAACAGCCATCATCAAGAAAAAGACAACTACAGGAAAATGAACGAACACACTGCATTCAACATTCTTTCTACTAGGAATGTACTTACCAAACGAAAACGGCAAGCACATTGTCGGTATTGTGCTGCTTTTATAAAACCAACTTGATACATCTAAGTAGGTATACAAGGTAATATCACAAACATTAAAAGTATGAAAATAAGCGAACATGCAAAGCATTCAAATAATGTTTGTTAAAACATGGAATGTATCAATCAGTACCAATAGTTACATTCATAAAGGGCTTTCATCTCCTTTTAATTATCTATGTATACTTAATCTTAACACTCATAATGATATTTGGATAGGGTACAATGTTTTTCTACGAAGTTCGTAGTAGGCGGTTCTTTGGTTTTTTATAGATTGCATGTACCATTACAAGTTTAATTTGGCGTAGTAATTGCAAAATCAACCGCTTGCTGTGAACTTTGATAGTTCTACGCCGTTACTAATAAAAACCCTTGTATCTAATTTGGAATAAAAATAATTATCAGCTGTTGATTTCATTTTTTTTGCCAATCATGATCAATGACCTAAATAAGTTTCCTCGGGAATAATTTTTCTTGTATTTCGTCAGTAATGCCTATCGAATACATTTCTAATTTAGAATGATGGCCGATCCAATTTTACGAATGAGATTTTCACGATATGTATGTTTCTTGGAGTGGCTTTCAATTTTTATTAGTAGCTGGCTAATCTAACGGAGGAAGACACGGAAAGCATAACGTTACATATGAACCTGCGCGTTTAGGGCCGCCGTCTTCGTCCACTGCGTCCTGGTGTCTCAGGAATAAAGGCAGGCCGTACGCCGAGCGGCGCCGCGGCGGTGCTGACTCCGTACCACTCGCCGCCTGCCCAGACGGATGTATTTCATACTCTAACCTCTTTGCTAGCAGAATCATACCTCGTACCATCGCTCGTAGCCGAAGAGGTCGCAGAGCATTCAACTTTCACATTTAAACCTAACCGCTGTCAGTTTGTGCTCTGCCCTTCTTTATTTTTAGATTTGATGTGTGTCGCGTTTGGCTAGTTTCGATTTGTTTCGCTAAAACCGCTTTAAAGCTACAATCATTTCATAACTCTGCTAAAAGTACTAAATACGCTATTCGCACCTAAGTAAATAGATATATAAAAATAACAAAAGATATAAATTAGCAATATTTTCCGATTTCAAAAAAAGTTCAGCTTGCACCTGATGTACTGTCTAATAATGGCATGAGCAAAATTTATATTAAAAACAGCCTTCAACCGGAAAGTCTAAGTACCTATCTCGAAGAAGTTGGAAGACTACCTATGAAATTTTAAGATATTGATTTGATAAGGTAAGGCTTCGTGATAATACCTGTTCTCCTGGGGTCGCCCCTGGTAGTAGTAGTAATGGTAGATTAAGCCAAGCTCCCCCTAATTCGCTGAGGTCAGAAGCGTCAGAGGCTCTTGAAGACTTGCGGCTTGAGGCATGGGAACTCCTCCGGACGTGAAGCAAGGCACTCAGTCGCCCTCCCCAACCTCCACCCGGTGACCATTTCGTGCTTTCCTCTTCGTTTGAAGGACTACGGTTTTTCCTCCTGAAATTATTATTTTTATATTTTTATATTTAGTTATATTATTTTCGTCCATAATAGAGAAGTATTGTACTGTGACTAAATAAATAAAGACTACGTAAAGTAATAATGTAACTCACTTCACATATTCTCTCCAAGCACGTTGGACTGTTCTTGCTGCCTTATCTTCTCTTTTCCATATTCTAGTCGAGGATACTATTTCTAACTCTTTTCTGGTTGGGAACTGCTTTTTAAATTTTATGTCCATTTGCTCTTGCAGCTGCCTAAACGTATCAGTTTCTTCAACATGTCCTAATACATGTTTCACCAAAGCATGTAGAATATCCAAACAATGGATTTTATTCCCTCTTGCTATGGGAAGATTGAAACTAACCAAAGCAACTGTATTTGGTTTTGATATACCCAACGGTGGATCTAGTGAGGCAATGAAATCTGATAGTTGAGCAAAACTAATAAACTGTGTCGCGTGTGGATCGTACCTGGAATACAAACATTAAGCGATTAACTATTAAGCATTCAAAAAAATTAAGTGTGAACGTTTTCAAAATATGTTAGAAAGAAATATGATATATATGAAACTTAATAAATATCTAACAAAAACTTCGTCATAATAAAATAACAGATGAGGATAAATTGTCCTATGAATAGTTTAATCTTGACGTTCAAGGACTTGACTTTTTAATTGTAAATGAAAATAAAACGATGCAGCATAATAGATGTATACGATTTTAATTACTCACTTCGACCATCTAATGTAAAACATTTCAAGATCATCTTCAACAATTCCGATTTCCTCCTCTTGGTGTGCCTGGTTGAAGTTCTCGAGGATGATAGCGATGTACATGTTGATAACGATCATGTAGCTGATTATGATGAAAGAAGTGAAGTAAGTGATAGCGAGGAGGGGACTGCCACAGTTGCCGTTAATATGGCCGACGTCACCAAGTTCGCATTCTGGGGGTTGGATCATTAATGATGCCAATACATCGTTCCAGCCTGCTGACGTCATAAGACTGAAAATTTAATTATTTTACTTACTACTTTATATAGATCGGATTTATATTAAAATAGACGATGTTTACTAGTGTAATTTCTGTTAAAAAAATATCCAGCAATATACATTCAGATTTAATATATTAAAGAAATGAAAAGTGTTAAGGCTTCATACCGAAAAAGTAATTGCATACTCCTCCCGAAGGTTTGAAAGTTGACCAAGTCATCCAGAGCGCCCTGCTCCTTCACGTGCCCGAAAACCGACATCCCAATGATGGCGTATATGAACGTGATCAGTGCCAGTAGCGCTCCGATATTGAACAGAGCTGGTAGAGATACTACCAAAGCGAAAAGCAGCTTTCTTATGCCTTTTGCGGCCTGTAAATTAAAGTTAAAGAGATGTGTTGAAGTATGAAGTGATACGCTATGATTGCTTAATGTAAAAGTATTTCTGCATCACTTATTTTATTATTACATAGTATAAATGTTGTATAAAATGTACAAAGTATAGAAGTTGTTTTTAACTCTTCTTCGAAACAGTTTTTAATATTGCATATGAGATTTCTCGAGGAAGTTTACTCTACTGGATTGCTGGTTTATCATAATAGGGGAAACGTTAAGATTACAATTGTATTTATTGTATAATAAAAAAGCTCATTAAAAAAATTATCAAAAATTTTAAGCCGACCAAAAGAAAAAAAAACTGTATAACGATAATATTCTAGAAAAATGTTATGGAAGCTTGTATATTAGGTGTATTTTTATAGTTGTTATTGACGCTTATAAATCCAAGTTTCAAGTCAAGCTTTAATATAATGTTAACACACTATCATTCTTTAGTTGCACTGCTGTATAACCATGAATAGATTTTTTATGTATCTTCTTATATTTTATGAGTTCCTTTCCTCCGTGATCACCTTATAGCAATCATTCTGAGATTTTAGTTTGTTTAAAACCTTAGTAAATCTATATTACTCAAACTTCGAAAACAGTAAAAGTACTTTTTTATGTGCTAACACAAAAAAATATTCAGAATAATACATTTTACCAAAGATTGCTTTCTTTGGTCTACACTTTTGTGATTAGGTATAGAAAAGCGTAGATTTTTTAAACCTCAAAAACAACTCTAGATTATCTCCCATAATATTTTTTAAAAGTAATATGTTCTATTGAAGTAAATAGTTTATTTATAGCTGCCACTTTCTGATTTTGTTACAAAAATACATATATAATGGACATGTCTTTTTGAAATCCATAAATCTATATGGACATCGGAAGCATTATCTATAAGAATTAATATACGAGGGTCAAACTGAAAGTTCTTAGAAAATCAAAAACTGATTACATTAGCCAGTTATTAGTTTTATTATATCTTTTCAAAATATTGTCCATTCACGTCAATACACCGCTGCATGCGATGGAACCACTGGGAAAAGCACTTTGCCCACTCGTCCTTAGGGGTCTCTTCAATGGCATCGCGATACGCAGCCACCGCTTCTTCAGCATTCATAAACCGCTTTCCTTTAAGTTTTTCTTTAATTTTTGGAAATAAATAAAAATCACAAGGCGCGAGGTCGGGGCTATACGGCGGGTGACCCAGTAATTCAACGTTTGATGTCGCCAAATAGTCGATCGTTCGCTTGGCGGTGTGCGACGAGGCGTTGTCGTGGTGAAGGAGGATCCTACTGCGAGGTCGTTTCTCTCGAACTTTTTCCAAGACAAGTGGCAAACAATTGGTAGTGTACCATTCTGCAGAAACTGTTTTTTGATCCTCTAACACAATTGTTGCAAAATGACCTATCCTTCCAAAGAACGAGGCCACCATTTTTTTTCCCGCACTTCGATCTCTCTTCACTTTAGTTGGCAACTCCTCGAAAGGAAACACCCACTGAGCAGATTGTCTTTTGGTTTTAGGATCATAACAGTAAATCCAGCTTTCGTCACCTGTTAGTATGTCGAACACAGCATTTGAGTCACCTCCGTTAAATCTTTCAATCATTTTACGACACCAATCCACACGATGGAGTTTTTGAGCCTCAGTCAAATTATGAGGTATCCACCGGGCGCAAAGCTTCCTGACCGCTAAATGTTCGTGGAGGATTTTGTGCACTTGACTCATACCGATGCCTAAGCTTGTCCGAATCTGTTGATAGGTCACTCTTTTGTCAGTCTCTATCATACGCCGCACAACACAGATGTTATCTTCAGTCGTCGCCGTAGAAGGCCGTCCCTCACGTAAATCATCAGTGAGATTAGTGCGACCACGTTTAAACTCATTAAACCAGTTGTAAACAGTCGCACGAGATGGGGCTTCATCGTGAAAGGCCAATCGTAGTCTATCATAACTTTCTTGTTGACTTAAATGACATCGAAAGTCATAAAAAATCATTGCACGAAAATTTTCTCGTGTTAAATTCATGATGACGTGACACAGACAATTTTCAATTTGCCGCCAAATCGTAAAACAAATGACAAATGAATGAAATATATACTCAGTAATATTGGCAAAGAGTTATATTTTCAAATTTTAGAATTATTTTTTTATTATATTGTTTATAAGTGGCCAGTTCTAAGAACTTTCAGTTTGACCCTCGTATATATAAAAAACTTACTTTAATCAGTCTTAAAATTCTCCCTATTCGAAATACTCTGACCACACGGAGCAGCGTGGGCGATATGGGCAAATCTATCATGATATCTTCCATCACAATGCCCAGAATTGAAGCTAGCACCAGAAGAAAATCGAACACATTCCACGGCACCGTGAAGTAATGATATCGCAAACCTATAATTTTTACTATGGCCTCTGTAATATAATAAGTTAAAGATATATACTTTAGACAATATTAAATACAAATAGGGAAGAAAACAATTAAATAGCCTCACCTAAACCAAATACTGTAGTGAAAAAAGCGTTGCTGACTTCCAAAATGAAGAAAATTGAATGGGGCTGGTCATAATGCTCTATACCCATTGTAAGCATATTCAAGAAGATAAGTACGAATATGGCTATCTCGAAGCGTCGTGAATTGGACAAATCATAAAACATTGCAAGGAACTGATTCCTGGGACGCTTTATGACTTTCTGGGGCTTTTTTCTGCCAAGTTTCTTCATCGCTGTGTAGTAATGTTTTTGACTTTCTGTTAAAAACATTTCTAGTACCCCTCCTTCATACTAAAATTACAATATTAATATAGGAATTTTATAAATTGACTACTAAAAAGTGTTATTTATATTTTATTTCGATGTACCTTTTTCTTGAGCATATTGAAATTGTCAATAATGACTCCAATGAACAAATTCAGAGTGAAGAATGAACCGCATACAATAAAAATTACAAAATAAATATAAGCATAGAGATTCGCTTCTCTCGCAGGTTGCAGATCCACTCCTCTTGCATCCACTGCATCAGCCATTACTTCCATCCAACCCTCAAATGTGGCAACTTGGAATAGAGCTAAGTAAGCTATTCCAACGTGATCAAACGAAATTTTTGAATTGATCCAAGTGAAATTATTATAGTAACACTCCCATTTATCATTTACTATCTGCAAAATGGATTATATGTTATGAAGGTATTGGAAAAAGTAGTAAAGATAGAAAGGAAGAGTAATTACCGAAAAAAAAAACTAGAATAAAAAAAGTTTAAAAGAACTATACTGACCAGTGCATATCGTTGTTACACAATTGTTTGGAAAATACTTACGTAACTGGAACACACATTGCGAGAAGCGGTGTTTTTTAGATAAGTTTTAACAAATGACAAAATTTTCTTACCTCTAAAGGAAGTAGTTCACCTTCATCATCGACGCACTTAAAGAATTTTCCACCGAAGAATTGCACTCCCATTATAGAAAAAATTAACCAAAACACAAGACACACTAGTAATACGTTGAAAATGCTTGGTATGGCGTACATTAATGCGTTGACAACTATTCTCATGCCTTGCCATCGCGATATTGCCCGTAATGGTCGTAATGCACGTAAAGTTCTTAGTGATCTCAAAACTTTTAAATTCTCATTTTCTTCTATTAATAGACTAAACACTGATACCTGTAAGAAGTTATTAGAATATTATGCACGAAAATGAAGATCATGCTAAAGCGTTTTCTACTGTTGAAACTGGTTAATTAAACGATAGATTTATACTTATTTAGTATTGTAAGAATGGAAAATAGTGTTGGTAAATGATTTCAAATAATTCATACTTACAAAAACAATAGTAAAGTCTAATAATGTCCAGAAGCTTGTAAAGTATCTGAAGAACCCCAATGCAATCCACTTAAGAAACATCTCGATGACGAAGATCATGCAAAATCCGAGATTCGTCCAATACAAGATTTTCTTCAGTGGCTTATTCTTCTCCAAGTGAATGTCTTCGAAACAAAGGGTGATGCTAGAGGCGAAGATTAGCACCAAAACGAACCATTCAAAGGCGGGTGTGTCCACGTAGCGAAGAATAAATGTCCGAATGAACATCCAGCGCTGGCCTAATTTTGTTTGGATAAACAAGTCCCAACAGGAACATCTGAAGGAACGGAATGGACAGAATAAAAGCATAGCAGCAAACATATGGTATGTGCCTCCTTTCGCGTGTTGAGCGCAATGATACAGTCCTGATGCTACCTAGGTAAAAGTGATCGATGCCTTGGTACTTAAAATAGGTCCTACGCAAAACAGCCTACTCTGAAATACTTAGTTAAAATACAAAAATGGCAAAGGAAGTAAGTGTATTATGGGTGAAATTATATCGTTATTAATTTCGCAGATACTTTGTTGATAATAGCTATCTACGCTGTTAGTGGGCAGGTCATTATAGTTAAGCATTCAATGAGAAGGCACATGCCGATTTCAACATTATTATATAGAGGGTTTATGGAGCCATGCTAAACTGATTTCAGTAGAGGTAAAGTCAACGCTAAAAGTGGTATTTATAATACTTTTGGATGCATTAAATCTGAAAACATACGTATCATAACATTGATGAGGGAAACAATCCTGCGGTACTTTTGGCTCCTTCTGTTTCCCAAATCCCGGAAAATTTCCCATTGCATCCATATATTGACCTTTTGAATTTTTTCTCCCACCTACGGTTAATTCATCTACATATGAGACTAAAGTTTGCCATGGATGTTTCATTTCTTCTTCATCAGGTTTTTTCTCAGTGTCCTTACTTAAAAAGGTTGGAGTTTCATTTCCTGGCCTTCTGTTATTTTCTGGCGTAGTTTTACTCGATATATGTGCCATTTCGTAATGTTCATTCTCATCTGAAAGTAAAAGTAAACATACAGTACATTCGTATGAAAATTGACGGTATGTCTATACTTTTATTCACCTCTTGAATCTGATGGCTGCGTATGATATCCTGAAGACATTTGCGTTAATAACTTCTGCGCAGCAATTTGTTCTAAAGGTGTAGTTGGATCTTCTAAATTTTCTTTTGAATCTTCTCTAATACTAGTAATTTTATGTTCAGTAGCTAAATCACGAACATCTTTCAAAGTTTCTTGGCTACCATGATTGAAGTTATTACTACCTTGATAAATCGGCGGGAATAAATCTGATCCTACTGGCCTGAAAATATAAAAATTTATTTATTTTACAATTCTGGATCAAAATAAATTATTGTAAACAACCTCTGTTTAATACATACCTATTTAACGCTTCTTGGTAACTATGACTGTAAATATTGTCATGTGGAAAAAGAATGGTTTCTTGTATTGAACCCGAGTACCTTTGCTCATTAGGTATAGACACCTTCTTTTCTTTTACAGCACGTTGTTGTGCCATATATTCATTAACTAGCTCTTCTAATTTAGATTTTTTTTCAGTCTCTTTACTTCTCGCTATAAGGAAACCTTTTTTTCTAACTATAGAACGTATTCTATCGAAACTTTTAGCTAATTTCGAATCTTCACCTACTTCCTACAAGCACAGAAATAGTATATCAAACAAACAAAATGGTAATTGAAAACTTAACATAAACAATATAAAGAGTTATTACCTCTTTTTTATTTTTAAGTTCCTCACTGTTGAAACTATTGAGCAGTAAGGCAAGAAAGAGGTTGAGCACCATGAAGTTCCCCATTACTAGAGCGGGCAAGAAAATGAAGAAGCAACTTTCCGCGCCGGTAGCCTGCTCTGCTCTCATGCAGTCCCAGAGAGGCTCGATCCATTCGCCACAAAGTATTCGGAATATCATCATGAACGAATGAAAAAAGTCATTAAAGTTCCATCTGAGATAAAAAAAATAAGTATAAGAACAACAAAAACAATGTTTTTGGTTTTTAACTACAAATCACGAAAAATCATAGTTCTTACCTGGGTACTGGATCCGGCTCGAATTTGTCTGGAGTATAAGATTTAGAGAACAGCTGCATTCCGATAACAGCGAATATGTATATTACTATCACTAACACGAACGTCAAATTACCGAGAGCACCGATTGTTGATATTATAATACTCAACAACACTTTCATTGTAGTCCATGACTGAGCTAATTTTAACACTCGTAACTGCAAAAAAATGGTAGATATTATTTCAAACACCAAGATAATATAAATGCCGTGCTTAAATTACTGTCATCAGGTTAACCAAATAAATATAATCAAGATGTTTTAGTGTCCCAACGAATAACAATGTATGTAACATTGGTGGTGTTAGGAACAAGGAATATTTTTGACTGAAGGAATAGATTTTGTAACGTTTAATCTGTTACTATATACCTAAAATATAGAAATATATTGCTTTCTACTCACCAAACGAAGGCCTCGCAAAACAGATAGGCCGTCCACAAGCTCAAATATAAGATCTAATAGACTGGCTGATACTATAATTAAATCGAATATATTCCAACCACAAGCGAAAAAGTCTTTACTCATCGCCATCACTTTCATTATACATTCTAAAGTAAAAATAGATGTGAACACCTGAAAATATAGTCATGTAGGTAATAATTATGTATCTATTAACATAGTATAGTTTTATATACAAAAACGAATACCTTATTTCCTATATCTAACGCTTGCCTAACGTTCTCACTCATTCCATGATGCTCTAATGCAAGAAAGAGTGTATTGAGAACAATACAAGTTGTTATAAACAACTCGAAGAGCGGATCTTTTACAATCCCATAAAGACTATTTTGAAATTGAAGCCATCCTTCATAGTCTATGCAGCAAGAAACGCAGCATTCACAGTTTCTATCCACGAGTTCATCTGAAAACAAATCAAATATATTAATAAGGTTTTAGAATACAGAAGATATAACATTGAAAACAGAAAAATAAAATTGGAGATATAGATCATCAATTAGAAGAGCAGAAGCATAGTAAAGCCTATCGAGTTTATAAGATGCTAAGCATACTTTTGTATAGTTTTAATAGTAATAAGAACGGTAATCATGCAATAAGCGGAAGATAAGGACCAAGACAGTACGCAGGAAAATGCACGGTTTCTGAAATGCCAATGATTGAATTTTGAAATGATTGTGTATGTGCATTTTAAGTAATATTTGATTCGATCAGATTAGTTTTTAATTTGGTGTTCCCATAGACAGAATCGCATAAAAGTTGGCTTAAGAGTGGTTGATTTAGTAAGTGGTTTGTTCTTAAAATACTTTAATACGATTCTTGAATGCGACAAGACGACAGCGAAAACCAATCGCAAAGTCACCCTGCAGTCTTCCTGTGAGGAACAGGGGTGGACTGGGGGGTAGAAGCGTTGGCGTCTGTGTGTACTAACCTGTGAAGAAAGTGCAATTTTGCTCATAATTGCCCATATGAGATTTGTGCGTAGCTGCCAATAAACTGAGCTCATTAATTTTCGTCGTCTCCGCTTGCGGGAGGTCGGGCGCGCGCTTGTATGGCCAGTCCGCCCCTGACGATATTAATGAAGGTAGAAGCGAGTTTGCAACAGTGTTGTATAAAATGTCCAATGACGAACTCATTGAGAAGTGAAGCTACTAGTGAATTTTACCAGCCATTAGAAGTTACCATTAAACTCTAGATTTCAGGACAGCATAATTGTGAAAAGAAAGACAAAGAATCTAATGGTTACTTCTTCGATAATAGCATTGATAGACTGTATTGCAAAAATTTATTGCAGTATCTACAATTTAGTAGCTTATTAAATACATTTCTGATAAAATATATAATTTAACAATCCAATAAGCTACCAAGATTTGTGAAAACGTTTGGCTTTTTTATGGTCTTGCAAATATGGAAGCTCAAACATTCACAAATAAATTAAGTATCGGGTAAGAAATGATGAAACCTTACATAATGCTTCAGAAATCCAAAGTAAATATCTGTTTGCAAATGCAAGTTGAAACAGAGTGAACAAGTTAGAATTTTAAAATAAAGAATTGAAAGCTATTTTAAATATTAAAGTTACTCGTAGAAGTTTCCTGAAGTGGTTTTACATGAACTTAATTTAGTAAGAAAGAAAATTGCAAAGAATGCAAGCGCGGAAACTTTACAATAGATAGGTATAAAACCCAAATTTAGTATTTGAATGAATTTGGTAGAAGACTTCATGCATAATAGTAGTAACCAATATTGTATAAAATGTATATAAATAATCGAAATTCTAGTCTACGATAATTTTAAACTGAAGATTTTAAATGTGTATTTGTATTTTATCATATCATGTTTCGTTGTGAAAATCTATTATTATTGATTTGAATCAAGGTTTCCGTGTTGGCAAAAGCGATCATTCTTTGGGAGATATTAGCTTTATCTCAGTGATTGATATTTCGTGCTTTAGTGTCTAAGCCGTGCCAATTGAAGGGATCTTATACTTATAAGATATACCACCAAAATAAATAGAGTACATCATATCAAAATTATTTAATAATTATATACACACGTGTTTTTTCACGTCATGTTTTACATTGATGGTATATTCTTATTATTCAGATTTAGAAGCAGTGCAGTATTTGAATAAGACAGAACTTTACCTAGCACAACTATCTGATTGAGATAGTCTGGGTTTAGTGGATATTTCTCTTGTATGCTGCCTTTCTCCAATTTGTTTGATTTCTCTGTTTGCTTCTCTATTTTTCTTGAAGGATATTTTTTATTATGGTCCTTAAATTGTCGTTCCTGCGATTTATGACTTAGATTAATTTGGAAATCAATATTATGTTGTAAATTTAAGAACGACCTAATATGTGAGAGTTGTGAAACAATAGTTTTAAGGTTTTAAACCGAATTCTGAATAGTTTTCACTATTACATTTATTTGTAATACCAGTAATGTAGGAAGTATTATAACACCTGTTGAATAAGGGGCATCGGTGTGGGTGGATGATGTATAGGGGCAGGCATGAGGTGTACTCTTCGGGGATGAGATATAGGCGCCTGGTCATCAGATGTATGCTCGCCGTCATCATGATCGTCTACCACGCCTGAGTCGTCGAGTGATGACTCCCGGTTGTTGCTGTGGTCACTGAGTTGTCGACCTGCTGCACCAAGTGCACCACGACCTGCAGTGTTAGGTAATACTACATTTAGAAGTCTTGTTGGTGATATGGACATATGTATATTTCGTCTATAAAGTACTTGGTTGCACGGCGGACTTTGTACTACTTAAAAACTAATTAATGTAGTGTTAAGTCACTTTTAGTTTGCATTTTACTGCTATAAAAAGTGTATAATTTTACCTAATGCGTTGTCAGGATGCAAAGTGTGTGAAGGTGGAGGCGGGGGTGGGGCTGCGGGTGGCGGGGGTGATGCGCTCGGTGTCACTGACCTCGATCGTGATTTCGCCCGGTCGTTCCTGTAAGAATATAATTCTCTTTTAAATTTTCACTGGCCGTTTCTATGTCTACTTCTAAACCACGTTTCTTCTATACTTTATTGTATTTGATTAAATTTGCATTTGCAATTCGTTATTGATAAATATATTTTCTCCATAATTTTTAAAATGAAATAAATTTAATATTATCTTTATCTTCTTATATTTTGCAATGAAGGCAAGCTTGAGCCGTCGCTATTTTTGTCCCTCGTCGCTGCTTAGCGACGAGGGACAAAAAACATACATTTCAATCTTCTCTTGTTATTTTTCACAATGCTCGATTAAAATATAAAATTTTGATATGCTTATATGCCTGATATTCTTTACTAAATTATTAACAAATACTTGCAGAAGGCTAATAGTATTGTGGAGATGTGAATCAGTGTATATTCTATTTCCCACACTCGCGGCAGGTCGACTTTATATTTCGCCTCTCTAAATGTATCTTTACAAATATGTCTTTAGCGTTGATAACCCGAGGGCTTGATCTTTTTCCAAAAATGACATTTGGAAAAAAATCTAAAACGTTCTTATGATTTTACTAGAATCATTAAAGTCAATATTATTTCTATATCAAAGTAATAAGCATTTATAAAAGACTAAACTCCATGCCGTCGGATCCTAAATCTACGGTAGGAGATCTTGTGCCGAGAAAAACCGGCAAGAATCTCAGCAAGGGCTGCTTTTATCGCCCTATTTTATTTTATACAAAGACGTCACAACATATTAGAAAATAAAAAAATAACAAATCCCTAGTTAATACACATGCCGTGTCAAACAAGCTCACTGATAATAATTAACTTTATTTTAATTAGCAGACGCATGCAGCCATCGCATTGCTCAACCGTATTATAGGAAACCTAATGACCTCACGATCAGAAGCAGTGTCAGGTTCTATCTCCGCTGCATCATAAATTATCGAAAAATTTGTTTCTTTACAGTCATTGAGTGGACGTCAGCTTAGGTATTTAGAACGGATGAGGAGAAATTATGGTAAACAACAAGCGAGATGGCAATGTTTCAAAGTAATTTTTTGCAAGCAATTTTCCAGAACTGTACAGTAGTTTATTTAGTAGTATAATGTATATTATACTCCTAGATAATATACATATGTATATTCTTCTAATGGTGAATATGTTCTAATATACATATGTATATTCTTCTAATGGTAATAATGACATTGCAGAATATCTGTATATAGGTAGTATAATAAATAATAAAAGTGGTCTATAATGAAATGGACGATATTTTAAGAACTTTTTCCGTTTGTTCGTAATTACTTCTCAGTGTAGCTCTTCGTACCGTGACCATTACATACCTAGATGCTGAAACGTCTCAACACGATGCAAATACTATTATTATGCAAATGAAATGTTACAGCCATTTGCTGCAAAACAGGTCAACACTATGTAAGCGCAAGTTCAAAATTCACATGGTTCTATGACAAATTTGATCATATTGTAAGAGCCACCTCCTCATTATTATGTTAATTAGGTACTTTAGTTATACCGAAAACCCTTTTTTATTTTAAAAAATCAGTGCTTATTACGCAGTCGTCTGAATTGGTTGTAATTATTTAACCCATTAGTGAATTTACTTTGTCATTGTATTTCTTAATAGTTTAATCTATACTCTACATTTATGGTCCCTGGAGCCGAATGAAATCTTAAAAACAATAACATAAAAATGTGTATATGGAACTGAACCAAAGCTCGTTGGTTCCATCTGAAGTTTTATTGATATGAAAACTTATTTATTTAACAAATGAAAGAATTTGGTTTTTTTAATATATCAATTTCTTCCTTTCTAATGTACGAGTATATTATTTATACCAGCTGTCTTTTTTATACCTAAGACATAATTAGGTCTGATTAAATTATCCATGATTATCAAATCGGCCATATGAATATGAATGAATACTTCTGATGGTTAAAATGCAAAAAAAAAATCATTTGCCTTCGACAATTTACAAATCGGCTAACGGATTTACATTCTTCCCCCTTGTTCTTGAAATGCTGCTATAATGACGATTCATTCATAGATGTTGCTGGCGATACAACAAAGTTATAATTTTGCGCTAAAATCGCTTTCTGTTGGGACTTTTCAATTTTCCATCGGGTAACCTAAATATCTCTTGTGTTTTAATGATGTATCTCATAAACCCGGGTTTTGTTCATATCAATACTCCTAGCCAATGACACAGATACAAATGGATAATGCCGATACACTAATTGTATTGCAGTAATGGGCAGGCCTAGCGTTCTCCACCATCAGGGCCGGTTAAAGAAAGCCAGGGCAACGTACGGGGCGCCAAAATCATTATGTAATAAATTTATTCGTTAAAATTACAAAGAGAATATGATATATAGGTTTATTCTCAAACTTTAAACCTAACTAAAACTAGTTAAGGTTAAAGTTTAACGTTTGGGATTTGGGTATTCTTTCTTATATGCAATGGTGGATCTAGCCTTCAATCAGGGGGAATCACAAATTCTAGGTTTACTCAGTTTTTTCCCGGACGCACCCTTGCTTATGTGGCTTCAGTGGCATAAAAATGTTACATTCACTAAAATATAATAGACGTGACTTTGGACCAAATTTTGGCTATAAATTATCATTTTAAAGGCGATATTTTCATTTATTCGAACAAAAGCTCCAAACCATTATCAATTCATTACAGTTTTTGAAATTATAAAAAACTATTTTTAAACTTGATAATGCGAATAAGATATTTGTTGTTTAAGCAGATTTATTCACATAAGAAAACTGCTTCGGCATGGGCCCCGGCTATTATTGGACCTAAATGACCCGGCCCTGCCTAACCGGCATCGCTCTGATTCCGAGCAATTTATTTATCGAAACAAATATGATTACCAAATAAGCTTTCAGGAATATTTCGTCATCTTTTATTATTGAACACGAGCTTTGTTACTATTGTAATAACTGTTCATTGTTTTATAAGTGACATGGTTTTGTGACCTCTGCACTAACTGCTCTGAATGTAATTACATTTTCTGGTTTTCAGTTTTTTTTTTATTACAGTAAGTTCAAGAATGTTTGTATGTTGAACGTGAGTTTTTATAATTCAAGCTGATGTTTTATTTTCAATGATTGATTTAATAAAAAAGGCAGGTTTAAATAAAAGAAAGATAGTGCACTATGTTTCTGTTTTAAAATAGCGGTCCATTTAAATCTATTAATCAATATCTCACATCAATAGAAACACTAGTCGTTCTATTTTATGTAGCAAGCCTTCCACCTCACAGTGAGACGCGTATAGACGCATATAGATATGTTTGGAATCTAATTAAAAAGTTTTCCATCAGTAGCGGCGTTCTAACAATGCTCCAAACAGTGTACTTAAGACACTAACTAAGATCACTACTACTTCTGCAAACTTAGATTATAGAAAGAACTCGATATTCAATAAACATCAACAACAGTATTTGTTTCAATTCATCATTATTCGGTCAGTTGCATAAACGTCCATTTATGTGTAATGACGCCTTTAAGTTCTAATGAATTTCAAATTTATATGAGTAATGTCGCTTTAAACTAATAAAAGAATTAATGAACGTTTCTGCAAGTTACTGTATATCATTTGCACGTGTACAACAATTGTATCATGTAGTGTTTCGACTTGGTAGTTTTTCCGATATCTCAAACCAGGGATTCCTAAACTGTTTTGATCAAGAGACCCATTCACTAAAATGAACTATACCTCAGACCTCCGATACACAAATTACACTAAAAATCCTATAAAGAACATAGGGGTTGTTTGACATAATTTTCTCGTGAATAAAATAAATTGACCTAAAATATACATAAAATTATAGAGACATAGACTTCCGCATTATCTTCGAAGTTACCAATAAGAACTTGTGTTATTTAAGTCGATTTTTTATTCCGGCGACCACCAAAATAAGTTTTCATTTATGGCGACGACTAATAGAAAACCGTTTGCACGCTAAATGGTCAATATCGACAACATTGAGAATCCTTTTCATAAACAATCATCGTTCGTACTTCAGCTAGAACTTTCTTTATGATTTGTTCCAAGAATTTAGTATGCTTTTCGATTTTTTTATGTTCAGAGCAACATAATTTGTTTTTTAATATATGTCTATTCTTCAAACTCCTTCACACAAAACAGATTTTTCTTCATATTCCTTCACAATCATGCTGCTAGACTCTGGAACCCATTACCTGCCGATATACGTGACAGTCGCACTATTTCTGTGTTCAAAAAAAGAGTGAAGGATCTCCTATTGTTTCCTATTTCCTATTGTTGATATTGGAGAATGTAGGTATTGTAAATCTTTATATATAATATATTATTATATATATAACGTTTGCACAGTTATGTAAGTTATTTTATTTTTATTTTCTTTTTTGCCGGTATTTGTATTTGTTTATAAATTCCATATTAATTTTATTTAGGAGGTACACACTGACTACCTTATTGTATTTTTTTCCTGTTGTAGGCCTGCCGGTAGAAATTTCAATTTGAAACAAGCAGTGCCTTTGTACTAATGTCTGTTACATTTGTTCAATGAAATTGTATGTGTGCACAAAATAAATAAATAAATAAACTATTTTTAAATTCTCTTTGATTCAGTTGCAATAATGAAAATAAACGATAAATTATTTTAAAAATTATTACAATACATAGCTATAGCTGGAATGATAATAAGTATTAAAGAAAAAGATATAAGTTAAAAACGTCAAACATATAATCCGACGCTAGCAGACCAAGAAAGAGTGTATTTTAATTTTAAATGTAATTATGTATTTTGTGAATTATCGCTCAGTTGCACAAGTGTCCATTAAGGTTAAATTAAGCACTAATTAATGTTTTAAATTTGATTCAATTAATGACAATTTTAATGGACATTTGTGCAACTATGTGTTATTGTTGGCGACAAATCCTTTGGAATCTACTTTTAGATTATATTTGAATTGTATGTCTAACTAGCTTTCCG